AACATCAACTGCAAATTTAGTTAAACGAATCTAATACACCTGTGAAGCAGCAAGTAGATCTAAGGCCGTGCAGCATGGTATAGTAAACAAAGAACTTGCTATAAAACAGCTAGAACAACAAAAATTACCCCAAATTTGTGGAAACTGCAGTGAGCATATTTGCAAAGATTGAAGGCTTTTTATACCAAAGTCATTTGTTATTTTGTTACCAGTTTCCAAGATATTCATATTTTGTGTTGTTATTTTGATTGACTGTTAGTTAGACTGTTAGTCGAAGACTGTTAGTTTATATTTTTTTACTTTTATTTACTTAAGGGAGTAGTCTCATGTCCAGGGCAAACATTTTCGATTTTTTTTTTTGATATATTTTGAAAGTACATGTTATACCTTCGAAATAAAAGGCTTAAATTCATTCAATCAACACAAACAATATATTTCTACTTAAAAACATAAACAAGTCTAAACAATTGAGGAGTTCGCGTGCAAAACCGGATATATCCTTTTTACACAAACTCTTGTTTTTGTGGTTTTAGAGAGTTGGGCGTGAGATGTATCGATAGAAGTATTCAGTTGCGGCCAAAACGAGATATATACCATTAAAATCGTTACGTAAAGTTTGCAATTTGGAGCAAAACCGATTATATCGATATTGTAAGCAAAAACGGATATATCCATATCTACAAATTTGTGCGAGTTGGCTGCATATTTTAATTCGTTACAAGTATTTCTGTACTCTTGTAAAGCTTTTCGAACAAAAGTAGTGTTTTTATCGTTTGAATCTGACTCGTGATTATGGAGGAAGAAAATATTAGTGTAAATGAAGGTAATAATGGAAGTAGGCAAAGAAAAAAACGCATGAACAAAAAAGAGTTGCGTAAAAAGGAAAAGTAGGGTTAAGTTGTTTCTTAAAAGTAAGATTTGTAAACAATTTTTACATTTTTCAGATACTCAGATTCATGTCCTTTATTAGAAAGCTTTACACGTCCTTGCCATCATGATGGTAAAACATACGAGTGCTGTAAGGTAAGCATGAAGGATATTCAAAATTTAAGAACACAATTTTATAGTCATGTGGACAAAGTCCACCAAGATACATATCTGTGTCATTACATGTCTGTTATGCCAGTTAAACGACGCAGACAGAATAAAGAAATGAGACATAGAGACGCAACGGTTGCTTACATGTTAAAGTCTAATAAAAAAACTGTTAGGGTTTGCAAACAATTTTTCTCAGCTGTTTTCGGCGTAACTAAACACAGACTTCAAACAGTTGCAAAGGTTTTGGAGGAAGGAGGTGTGCCAAAGGAGAAACGAGGAGGTGATAGAGTATCTCAGAAATCTCTACCAAAAAAAGAAAAAGTACGACAATTTATCGGCAACTTGCGAGGTAAAGAAAGCCACTACAATAGAAAAAAGTCCAAACGTTTATACCTTTCCGCAAACCTTTCAATGGCAAAATTGCATAAAATGTATAACAGAAGATGTGATCCAAAAAATAGAGTCAGCTATGATATGTTCAGAAACGTCTTTTTAAATGATTTTAATATCGGTTTCTCATCCCCTGCATCTGATGTGTGCTCCAAGTGCACGAGATTGAAGGAGCAAATAAAACACACAAAAGACCTGAAGAATAGACAAACCCTTATTANCCTTACAAACTCAAAATAGATATTCAACAATTCGCCATCATATTTGGATAATTTTTGAAACTTTAATAATATTTTCTGACCCAAACTACTATTAGTGGACACTTTGAGGTTAAGTTGAACGTGAGAAATACACGGAATAGAAATAAACCTTCATATTAACAATTTCAACGAATTTTTACAATTTTTGCCATTTGATAAATGGTAAATATAGAAGAAGAAAAAATCTAATTGGAACTTTAATTATGTAATTTTTCTTGGTACTTTTGTGGAACAGATAGGCTTAAAAATAATAACAATTCTGCCTCGTATATTGGAATTTTTGATAACATACAATCATAATAATCAATCGAGAACATGTTGAAAACAAAACGAACTCCCCCAAGATTGTCGTAAAACTAATGACGGTAAATATTTTTTCACTACTTCAACATTAGATTTAAGATCTAGCTCCAAGTTCACTTTCTACTACTTGTATGATTTTTCTTTCGTAGTCGTGCCTCTCGAAGCCTCTAGAAGGGGCGAAACACGTGTAGCACTTATTTAAATGAATAAATCATCGTTTTGGGCCATTTTAAGCCTTTTATTTCGATTACAATTTTAAACGATGTACCTGGAGCAAACCCTAGCGAAATATTATACCTTGGGAATATTTTGAATAAATTTCAGACCGATACTCGAAATATTAACGAAGTTATAGGCGTAGTTATAGTTATACGCGTTTGACGCAACTAGTACGCATATAACTATAACTACGGAAAAACAGTTGGCGCAACCGATTTTACAACCGCTTACTCGTTGCCAATGACGAGTTACCGCCGCCCCAACCCCCCGACCCACAGTTCATCTCGGTCGCAGCCTGACGGAGCGCACGGCTAGCTCAACGACCTGGCGGAGCGCACGGCTAGCTCAACGTCCTGGCGGAGGAGCGCACGGCTCACTCAACGACCTGGCGGAGCGCACGGCTAGCTCAACGTCCTGGCGGAGCGCACGACTCGCTCAACGGCCTGGCGCAGGTCCGATCAGCGTGGGCGTGGGGTCAGAGAGCGCTCACGCGCATTCGTCCCTGTAAAGTCAAGCCTCACACACATGCGTGCTGCTAACGACAATCAGAGATTGACGACTGGTTGCCGGGACCGACGGCTTAACGTCCCCTCCGAAGGACGGGGGGCGACTCAACGTGCTTTCACCGGGGTTTGAACCCAGGACTTCTGCGTGTTAACCCGAGAGCTAACACGCTGAGCCATCACGCCCCCCGGCATCAAACTTTTTTGTTCTCTTATGGATTTGGGTAAAGGCTTCAGTAAATCAGGTTATTATTCAATCATAGACCACATAAGCATTGCCATAAAAGCCGTCGCAGAGAAAGTTTTCAAAAAAGGGAGTGAAAGATGAAAAAGAAAAAAATCGTCAACATGGTCATACAGAAAACGAACTAACCGTCTCAGGCGATGGATTATGGTCTAAACGACGATTTACGTCACTTTTCGGTATTGTTTCTCTTATCGGAAAATATTCAAACAAAATCTTGGATGGAATCGTAAAATCAAGTGTGTGTAAGGCTTGCGAAAAATGGAGTGGCAAAAAATACACTGTTGAATACGCTGCTTGGTATGATGATCACGAAAATGTACCGCAAATCACGATGATAGCGCAGGAAGGTTGAAGCTGCTGAAAAAAAGAAGTCTGAAGAAGAAAGAACAGTTCAAGGAGAAAATGAAAGCAGCACGCCGAAGAAGCATAGATTCACGAAGCGAAATTCATCGACTCCTGCGAAAACTAAGCCTAAAACTATGCAATTGACTAATAAAATAATGCTGAAACTGTCTACTTATTATGGACTTGCAATCATGCGAAATACACATTCTCTAGAAGAAATGAAAAAAGCTGTATGGTCAACATTCTACCATATGACGTCCAGTGATGAAAAACCGCAACATCATTATTGTCCAGAAGGTGCATCTTCTTGGTGTGAATATCAGAAATTTTATTCAGATTATCGTGCAGCTGAGCAAAAAGGAAGTAAATTCGAACACCCACCGACATTTGATGAAGAAGCAATAGTAACTTTGAAGACCATTTACGATGAATAATCGGCCGACAGTCTCCTACAAAGATGTTTGGGAGGAAACACTCAAAATAATAATGAAAGTTTCAATAATTGTGTATGGAATCTGCATGCACTTTCAATGAAGGTCATTTGAGCCTTCTGAAGATTATGGAAGTTATGGGAGTCCAAATAGGTGGAGAGGCTAGGAACTTTCCGCAGATGTATGACGACGCTCGGATTTCGAGAGCGGAAGAAAGGACGTCTGAGGCTTCCAAATTCGAAAGAATGGCTCGAAGGGCAGCCAGAACCGCTGAAAATGAGTAGCTGAAGATGAAGCTGAAGGTATATTATACGCACCAGGCATAGATTGTTAGTGTAAATATTAATTTTTAATGAATAATCTATTTTTAAAACTTTAAACGCGTTTATATCAAAACCATTTTTTTTTTCGATGGCTTGGGTGATTAGCAGCAACCTAAATTTTCACAGAGTGTACGATATTTGAGTAGTTCTATCTCGTACCAGATTTAGACATTTTGATAGCAATTATTTCATATTTTTTTCCTATTTCGACGACAAAAAACATGATTTTTTGAAATTTTTTTTTCAGGTCCGCTAATTTTCTTTTTTCTTTGGTCAAATCACTTAATTCGGGTATGGGACAGAAAGACAAGCCTACAAACAATAATCAATTTGGATTTTTGGTTTTATATGAATACAAGTTCTGCGATCATCTGGGCCAGCCAGCTACCTTTTTTTTTTTGTGGTGTTCACTTGAATCATCAAATACAGTTCGAAAATTATGTTTCTTTTATTCAAGGGCATATTTTGTTGTAACATATATAAATCATGCAACGATTGTATTTGATCTTGTAATAAAAAAACCTTCCTGAAATAAGCTTAAAATTTTGGCCTGAACATAGGAGTACCCCCTTAATAAATAAATACCGTTAAAAAAATGAAACACTTTTATTTTTCTTCTTTTGAAAAATGAGTTACTTTTTCAACATACTACCCGTGTATTATGACTAAGATATAACCCACTTAGCGATATTTATGCATATTTCACGCAGAGGCTATCATGGTTTGTTAATATAATTTTTTAAATTATGGGATCAATTTGACCATGGATCACCAAATGTGTGGTTAAAATTAGGATCACCAGTTAAGGGTTATTTTTAGGTGCGGACTTCTATACTCTTTCAAGTATTATGTTTACTAAACAATAATCATTTGAGTATATTAAAGTTTATCTTTAACATTAGCCATGTTTCATCTGTTCAACTTTTATCTTTAGGATTATATCAAATGAATAATTACTCTATATTTCATATTTCAATAATATAATACATTATAAAATAACAACAAATCTTCTTATCTTAATTTCTTTGGCCAAGACGAGTCCTTTTCGAACAATTATTAAGGACATTGGGCATCATGACTCAAGCATGATAGCATCATGATATACATTCATGACATTCAAAACATGGGGTGAAACTTATATTATTAATATTTGTGTTCTTGGTTATAATTTTAAAAATGATTCTTATACAGAAGTTTCAACAACTTCAAATAATTGTGGAAACAGTTATATAATATCCAGTACACAGAAGAATATGCAGAGTTATAAGGAAGAAGTACATTTTGATCGAAAAAGCAGATCCCAAAATGTACAGGTTGCACATACACATGCGTTCCGCAAAGAATTATTCAAGTTCTTGGGAAATCATTCTTGGTAAAACGCTTGTGTACCTATCCATAGCACAGCCAAAAAAGACTGGTTCCTAACTACATTTCACAAGTATGTGTAATCATTGAGACATCTCAGCAGCATATTGTGGAAATAATAATCAAATTTATGTTGGTCTGATAATAACCCAGATGTGACAGTAGAAAGTCACGTTCAGCATCAATTTTCATATTCCGAATTTAATTTGATAGACCTACTGAAGGAAGTTCCATTGAATATCAGACGAAATATTTATTATCAACGTAATGGTCCCATTTTAGTTGCACAATGATTGACTATCTTAAATCCATACATTTCGCTCAAAAGCTGAAACAAAAAGAAAATGATTTAATTAATTAATATTAATATTTATTCGAGACTTAATAGTTATCAGAAAATTTTATGTTAAAACTTTTTAGTGGTTTCATTATTAATGTTAATTTAAACTAAACTTGTGTGTGTTGGAAGAAGATAATATCTTCTTGATAGATAATTTTGAAAACACAGAACTTTATCAAGAAATCATGGAAGAAAACGAGATTATAGAGAAAGAATTATCAACCAACTTGACAGAAATTACAGAGATTTATTTTCATTTTGAATACATAAAAATTTTTTTTTTGAATTGAATTTATTGCTGATATATTTTAATATTTAAATTAAACTTATAAAAGTATGCAGGGAAAATATGAAATTATCCTGAGAGCTACAGATTATTAGTGGTTTCAAGGAAAATTGTTTACAAACAAATACAAAATTATATATTCATTGTAGGTTCATTGAAGGATATAATTAGTAAAAGGTATAAGAAAATTGTAACACAAAGGTATTGGATGGAAGTAGATTAACAATGGAGATAGGCGATATTGAGCCAAAAAAGCAAAATTGAACAGAATTCAGAGATAACATGGAAATAAACAGTAAGGAAAATCAAAAGTTGTTTTTTGAAAATACAGGTAAACGTCGTTTTGGGCCAGTTCGAACTGAACTAAACTTTCTTGGCAAGCACTGGGTGGTTCACGAGATTCAAACCTCGAACCAATATCCGTAGCACTAAACTAAGCGGCGAAGCAGCGAGCGCTGATGTAACAGCAGCAGCTTACCCTCAAAAGTTTCAAAGTCTCAAAAGTTTGGATTTAAAGTCGCCAAGGATAGACTGACTGTTCTCTTGGGATCAAATGTTTCTGGTTCCTTAAAATTTAAGCCAATAGTAGTGTACCATTCCCAGATTCCACGGGTTTTTAAAGGTCTTTTGGAGGTGGAATAAAAAGGGCTGGGTCACTCAGAAGATTTTCACAGACTGGTATAAAAATTATTTTTGCCCTACTGTGCTTAAATTTTGTGGCCGAAATAACCTTCCAAAGAAAGCAATCCTCCTATTAGACTGCCCCAGGACATCCACAAAATCTTGACACCTTACACTCGGGATTGGACGTCAAGGTAATTTACATGCCCCCTAACACAACCTCCGTTTTACAACCCATGGATCAGGGGGTAATTTCTACCTTTAAAGCGTATTATTTGCGCATAACATTAAAAGCAACGATTAAGGCGATAGATACTAATTCCATTCAGACCGTTAAAGATTATTGGCGATCGTACGACATTTTAAAAGGAATAAAAAATCTAAAGTCTGCTTGGGACGAAGTGACAAACAATTGTTTAAACGGCGTTTGGCGTTAAAATTTCTGCTTGGATTTATACAAGGTGCAAGTGTAGAAGTGGTATATAACATTAACATAAACGAAGACATTATCAGGCTTATAGGCGAATGTGAATTCGAAGACGTAACAACTGAAGATGTGACCGAACTGTTAGACGTGCATGACCAACCACTCTCAAATCAAGAATTAGAAGAGTTGATGAAGGCATATGTACGAGTGTGAAGAATTGCACGACGAGGTCGTAGACCGAGTCGTGTAATAACACGAGTACTGTAATTATGCTCTAGCCCACGTGTGATATACAGCATTTTATCTACGACTGCTACAAATTACTAAAAAATCACTTTCTTTAAAAAAGTCTATTTGACATTTATAAAAATATTTTGAAATGATTGTTGACAATTTTGAATTGTCAGTTTCAACAACATGTTTAACATGTTTATCATGTTTAAACATAACAATTAATGTTTATAATAAATAGTGTTGTTTCTCTGTAAGTAGATAGCATTTTTTCTTTTGTATTGTTGCTCATTTCAATAAATTAAGTCTGTTCTGATTAGGCTAAAAATGCGTTACGTAATGAAACCAGTGCGGTAATGAACTTCATTACGTAACTCAAATCACCTCAAATGAGTACGGGGCATATATTAAGATTAGCTAGTAATGATGACTTATCCAAGCAGTCGTAGATAAATAATATTTATACAAATGAAGAAATCCATAATTTATTTTTTGTGCACGAAAAGTGCGAAAATGTTTAAACAATGTTTAATGAAAATTATCCACATTTACCTCCGATGACAAAAGGTAAATTTAGAAGAATAAAAGCAAATTTTTTGCATTTTGGACGAATTAATCACGTGTTAAACTGACCAAAAAAATGTAGTAGATAATACAACAGAAGATGTGAGTACCTTGGCTTATTTCGAGCCCAGTCTCAACACCTCAATTCGAGCTGCCAAAGAAGATCTGGGAATCATACTACGAACTTTGTCGCGCTTTTCATGCATGAAAAATAAATTAAAAATTTCTTGATTTGTGTAAATATTACTTTCGTTATTGTTATCGATTTTAACTCTTTTCAGTACTAATATTAAGGGACCTAACAGATAATTATTAGCTCACATGCATCAAGTGACGTAAACAAGTGAGTCTTTGACAAGAACTCATTGAGAAGGCTTGTTTTCCATGGCACACTAAGCTAAATATCCATATGATGTGTGATTTTTCAAAAAACCCTAATTATCTCCCAAACTATTAATGTTACGTATGGAACATATGGGATATAAAAGATGTAGAATGAGACACCGAAGACGACTAAGTAATAAAATATGGGGGGTGCCATTTAAAAAAATGAAGTTATGGCACTTACAAATTTTGAAAAGTTAACGTGCCATAGGAATGTGACCAAACGTTCTAGACAGCCGTTCTCGGCACCAAAACATACTCCATCATGTTGTTTCAGCATGTTCTGAATCCTAAATTGATATCCCAAAAATCGAGTGTTCTCTGATTTTTTGAACAAATGTCTGCTGGAGCAGATTTTCCTAGAAAAATTCGAATAACTCGGGAACGGCCGAATCAAATTGCAAAATGTAAAGTTGTTTATAAACCTTGAAAACAGACAAATCCAAATATGTAAAAATATACAGGATGTTCTATTTAAAAAAATAAAGTAGGTGGCGACTTCCGGTATAACCGGAAGTGCTAGAAATCTGAAAATATTTTAGACGAAGAAAATGTAATTGATAATACTTAAGTCTGAATTCTCACATTTTTATTTTCGCCAAAACCCCAGAAACGTCTAATGACCGGTCTCGCTGAGACACCTGTATTGATTTTTGATTTTATTATATTAAAATGGTTATCGATATATTTCAATATATAGTTTATATATGAGGTTCGATTTATTGTTCCACTGTATTACCAAAGTAATACAGTAATTATTAGTAATTATTTTCATTTACTACAGGAAAGTAAAGTAAATTGATTGCTTATACTTATTTATTTTCTTAATTTTTCTTTGTGATCAGTCATCTTGGCCACAAATCACATCACCCCGCTTGCCTGTTCGGAATTTTTACAACACTACAGAGCAGGTAAAACCTGGATTGAATGCCTCGTGAACGTAGGTCGTTTCTAGTACAATTTTATGCCTCTATGTGCAGCTCTTTTCGCATTATATCTGAACAGAACTGTACAATTTCACAGCCGACTACTGAATTTTCGATGATTTTAAGTAGCAACGAAATACATGTTTTTAGTTATTTGAGATTTTTATGAAAACGACAATGTTTTTTAAAAAATAATAAGAGTAAAAAAAGTTTTAGAATTAAATTCCACATGAATTCCACATGAAATGAGGTAATAATGTATTAAATCTACCAAAAGGTTAAAAGAATCTGTCAATATTTATGGGACTATCACCCTTAATCAACCCTTTGAAATGCCTCAATTGGTCTCAACTTGCTACCACTTAATACCCTCGGTACACTCATAACGTATACCAAATTTGGTTTTTCTAGCTTAATGTATTACGAAAATATTCAGTGTTTTAAAAATTTACGACCCAACTTTGAAGGCCCATAACTCCTCAGGGATACAATTTAGTATAGAGATAAGTTGCGTTAAATCATCTTAATTTATTGTCCTATACATGTCCCTGCTCTGTGTCGGTTCTTATGTGAATCACCCTGTATATAGGATATGTATTAAATAAACATCTTAGATTGTTCTTAGAATTTTGACATGGAGCCTAACCTTATATCGTCCATTATATTTGTGTTCATTTTACGCCGATTTTGTTTACACCGGTGTCTCTCAGAACGGAACTCTGGCGTAAAACGACGTTTACCTGTATTAAAATATTGTAGGAAAACAAATAGTTAGAGACTAAAGCTGTAAAGGATAAAAACAGATTAATACTGAGTGAAAGATGGAAGGAACACATCATGGAACCATTAAATGTAAATAGGCAAAATGAGATTAAGTTACCGACCCCTAACCATAAGAAAGAGACAACAGAAACAGATGAGCAGACTAACCATGAAGGAGTTGAAAACAGTAATAAAAAAAGGAAAAGCCCATTCAAGATAGATTAACCATGGAAATTATAAAATATATGGGATCACAAGGAAGAAAAGTTCACTTCGAACCAGTTTCTGAAGAAGGTTGCAACATGGCATAGTAAACGTCAAACCTTTTCTTAAAAGACGCATGGCAAAACCCGAAAGTTTCTAGTGTTAGTTCTAATTTTAGTTCAATTAACACCGGCCGAGAAAGCCTTCGTACTTATAAAGTTATTATTGTTATTGTGTCTATGGATTTCCAATAATTCCATCAAAACATTGGAAAACTTGTTAAAATTATCAAACATTTCCTAATTTAAAGTTTTACAGATGTAAACAACACTGTACTTGGAATTCTTTCTAATAAATTAATTTAATATTGAAATTTGCATTGTATTGTTTAAAATTAATTTAATATTTAATGTGATTGATAAATCATGCGTTAATTATAAATGATTCATTGTTTAATTTACAAAAATTATATAAAAATTACATATATCATGTACACATTTTTTAAACATCAAGCAATTTTGCAATTTAACAATAGATAATTTACAAATTTTAAGTCATAATACAGAATTATTTTTGTAATACATTAACACAAAAAAGATTATAATTTTATGCTGATTAATTTATGAACAAACATGATAAAAAAAATTAAACTATTACCTGTTAAACTGAAGAATTGTCTTCAAAAATTAGATTACAGGAAAACCATAATTGATGTCATTTAATTGTTAAACAAAATAACTTTCTTGAGGGTGTTTGTGATTTCAGTGCGAGATTAAACAGTGCACAACTGAGACAATCTATACTTTTAGAGAACTGGCCCCACCTAAAATACACAATAAAAATATATCTTAGGTCTTATACATATAGAAATGTATTATGTTAACTAATTAGAAGTAAATGTTCTCAATGTACAATTTATGGATATATTTATTATATTATTATAGTTTATAAATTATACGACTGTAAAATAGGATGTATGTAAAAGTAAAAACTTTTTGAGAAATATTAAAATGTATTTTATTATATTTAGAGAAATATGGAGAATTTCATCCCATTTATATACGACTGTAATTCAAGTTGAAGAATCACCACATAGCCTTGATATCACCAAAACCACGAGATAAAGTGTGATTATGAAGTATAGAAGTTATTGAAAGAATCAGAAAGTTTCAAAAATATCATAGTGCGTCTGAAAAATAGGGAATATAAGCGAAAAAATCCTGAACCAGGTCTAAATATTTAAATTTGTTGCAATTTTTTAGGTTCAGAGTTTACATTTTTTTTGCAATTTTTCAACTAGTTATGACGTCGACGAAATTTATTTTCAAATAGCAATTCCCCATTTTTATTATGCGGAAATAATAAAAAGAGGATCTTTTTCAGAATTTAGTATACATAACAACATTTTAGAAGTTTATTTACTTCAAATTTGCTTGAAATGATAAAAATAGTGTCAAAAGTAAGTGATTTAGTAAGGTTTATTACTACTTAAATAAATTATATAAACTATTATTACATAATTTTTATGTTAATTGTTGTTTACTTGTTTATAATTTTTATTTGTTTTGGGAAAAAATTACTGTAAGGTTTAGTTACTTCAAATTTGGTTCTAATGATAAAAATAGCATTAGCTATTGGTAATAATCGTTTTAATGATAAATAACAAATAAAACTAATAATTTAAATAAATAAAATATGAAAATTAAGTTAGATGTTCAAAGGGTATACCTTGAGCAGCTGCTTATCAGCAATGATTTTGAAATTCTTCCTGACAACTTCTTCTTGGATTCTGATTATTTGTTCATCCAAAGTATTGGTTCCAGTGGTATAAACTTTGCTCTTTAAATATCCATGCAGTTATCCTAAAGGAACAAGTCCAGTGGAATCAAATCTGGAGATATTCCTGGCCACTCAATTGGCCTTGTTCTTCCAATCCATCTTGTGAAAAATAACTGGTTTAAATAAGCTTGAACAGGAAGGGCATAGTATGGTGGCACACCATCTTGTTGAAGAAATCACTGCTGCTGGAATTGAATTCATGTATTTAATTTATTTATTGAAAGTAGCATCTATGAAAAGAAACAAAAAAGCCATCAGCAAAATATAAATAATACACAAGGCACTCTGTAAAAACAATAAAAAAAATAAAGAATGAATTAGTACTTATACACTGTTAATTAATTATCCTGACCCAGGTGACTTGTGTAATATTGGCTGCCTATCTCGAAATAATCGATTTTTAAGCGACATGTCTATTCTTAAATTATACCTAAATTTTTTTATAAAAATTCTTACCTCATCGATGCCAAACAACTTGTTCTTAATCATCTTCGAAATGCAGAATTGAAAATCTGCCTTTTTTGTGTTTATTCGATGATAATTGATAACCCATATGCAATATTTAGACATTTCTACGACGTTGCTTTTAAAAAAAACTGTCAACACCACAAAAGAAGCTTTTTTGAGGCCAACTATTCTTTGTGATTCTTTGAATGGCGTCAAAATGAACCGTACGAGTAATGCGAGGTCAATGAAAGAGCTTATGAGTCGCTGAAATAACATCTGGGGTAGGTATAGTTAGGTTTCCCATTAATAGATGGCATGATTTAAATTATTCTATATTTTTGGATATAATTTATTTTTATGTATTTATCAGAACAGTATTTAATTACAAAGATAATTTAATGATTTAAGTATGATACCGAACACTTTACTGGTTTATGTAAATCTGAAAAGCGTTGTCCTATCTCAACATAAGTACAGTTTCACGCGAAAGTATCGCTACATGCATTGCAAATATGATTCTAAAAAAGCTTTATACATATATATATGCTATGTTAGAAATGAAACTTTAAACAACAAATAAGATTTAATTGTGTTTAACATTTATTGTTATTTCTTTAATTTTTTTATTTCTTGCTTATTGAAAATATCGAATGACCTTGTTTGATGGTGTATTTTAAAGTTAATAAATGGAGATTAACGTTCTTTTTTCTATTATCTCAGACGACACTGCCGTGCTTGGTTAAGAAAATATCAAAAGAAAATTATAGGTACAAAGCTTCAACTGACTGATCGTCGTTTAATTATTTGATATTATAAATAAAACAAATATTATATTGATATTTGTCGCAATCGTAGACATCGATAGATAGTTCATTATTCTGATATTATGTTTGTGGCCCTGAGAAGGGCCGTTTATTAATGTGCAACGGCGGCAAGGATATAAGAAGAATTTAAGCTTTTTTCTCGGTCTTCTTAGGTAACAAAACAGCTTGAATATTCGGAAGCACACCTCCTTGTGCAATAGTTACTCCAGATAGTAATTTATTTAATTCTTCGTCATTACGTATGGCCAGTTGCAAATGCCTAGGGATGATACGAGTCTTCTTGTTATCTCTAGCGGCGTTACCGGCTAATTCGAGAACTTCCGCTGCTAAATACTCCATTACGGCCGCCAAATATACGGGAGCTCCGGCTCCTACACGTTCCGCATAATTGCCCTTCCTCAGCAACCTGTGAATGCGGCCAACGGGAAATTGTAATCCGGCTCGACTGGATCTGGACTTTGCTTTCCCTTTAACTTTTCCACCTTTTCCTCGACCCGACATGGCGACTTGGACTAGTTGATTGTTGATTAAATGTGTGCCGAAAACTTCAACAATATGGTTCTAGTTTCAATGCCAGCGAAACCGTTTTCTTAAAATAATTATACGCATCTACGCCGACGGTTCAACCAATAGGCAGCCGTCAACCAAGCGGTAGCAACAGGAGGCGTGGCCTACTGGTCCGACGCTTCCACGTTTTAAGCGACAAAGACGGGTTTTTTTTTTAATTCTGTAGACGCGAACGGTTTGTTAACGTCGTGCGAGTACTGAACGATATTAAAATCTTGTAATCAATTTATTGTTATTAACTAATCAACAATGCCACCGAAAACTAGTGGAAAAGCAGCCAAAAAGGCCGGTAAAGCGCAGAAAAATATTTCGAAAACCGACAAAAAGAAGAAGCGCAAGAGGAAGGAAAGCTACGCTATTTACATTTACAAGGTATTGAAGCAAGTTCATCCTGACACTGGCATTTCTAGTAAAGCTATGAGCATCATGAACAGCTTTGTGAACGATATTTTCGAGCGAATTGCCGCGGAAGCGTCTCGTTTGGCCCATTATAACAAAAGATCGACGATCACCAGTCGCGAAATTCAAACGGCCGTCAGACTTCTATTACCGGGAGAATTGGCGAAGCACGCCGTAAGTGAAGGCACCAAAGCTGTTACGAAATACACAAGTTCCAAATAATTTCTCTACATTTTTATAACGACCGGTTCTTTTCAGAGCCACAAATCTATTTCTGAGAAAGTATTATCGCATCCTATCTACAGTTTAGTTTTATAAACTATCATCCTACAAGACTGAGTGCGGGAAGTTAACCCCCATTTTTTGATTTTTAAATTTTTTATTGTTGTTCTAGATTGTTCTAGAGTTGTTCTACATTGTTCCAAAGCGGCAAATCGAAAAAATAAAAACTCCGCGAGAAAACCGAAAAAACAGGTTTTTTGACTAGCCCCCCATTTTTGGAAAAATCAAATTTTCTTTGTTGTTCTGGGTTGTTCTAGTTGTTCTAGTTATTGTTCTAGAAAATCAAAATTATGGGATACAGCATT